ACTCCTTCAGCTGAATTATTAATACATACCAGACTGCAATAAGAAATGATTAATTACCACTGTAGCCAGCCTAGAATAGCCTACTCTCTGTTTGGTTCCTCAACATATTGGTCTGAACACCATTACATTCACAATCCAGAAAATCCTCCTCCACAATATTACTAGTTTGGTTTGACCAACCTATTTGTAAATTAAAACCATACATGATTACATATGTAATCTTATCTTCTCTCATTTCTTGTTTCATGCTTTCCCTCATCTCTGCACTACTGTTGGGGGTTTGTAGACACTCTCCAACAAAAGTTTATACCTCTTGATGTATCTTATCTCTAACCGTAAAGATTCCACATAACTTTCCAAGCCAATATTGTTTCTTACTATTGCACTGAATACTTTTTTTATTAACAATGCCCTCCCACCGCCTTTTCTTTTTTCACTGCCCTACTAAATTAATGAATACCTCTAGATGTTCAATTCTCATCACTGGTCACCCTGCAGTCATGTTTCCATAATGAAAACTGCAGCATAACCATCTATATCTATTTGTGCTGCTGATTTATCTAACTATTGCAAATGCTTCGCATACTTCACCCCAGCTTTGCTCACTGATATCTGCCAATATTTCCATGTAATTCTATGCTCCTTCCTTTTACTTACAATCACTACATGTCACCTGCAAAAAATGGCTCCATGAAATTTTGTTTCAACTGTCATTAAAGGTTGAAGTCCCAATATATGTCCTGGTGTAGAAATCAATTCCTTTGAGTACATACCCATTATCATCACTACCAAAATGTCCAACGTGCTTAATAATTTGCCCTTAATTCTATAAGCTTTTAAGGTATTACTTACTTATGTGGTATCTGAACCTGAAAATTTGATTTGAGCATACATGTATACTCAAAAAAGAAATTAGTTAGGTTTTATTTAATTACATGTAACACAATGAAAATATTATGTATTGCATTTTCCTTGCATCATGCTGCCCTCAGTTCTACAGACAGAATGGCCTCAATAATACAATCCAGTGCAGATATTAGTCTGCAACAGTATGGAAGCACACCTGCATTTGTGGTAACTCAGCCCTTTTTACTGCCATTAGTCAACACAGCTCATTATTCAGGTCATTTTAAAAGTCTGACAGCATTCTGAACTTACAAAATAGTTCACATTTCTTTTGGAACATTACCATAGGCTCCACGCACCTTGGCAATCAAACCAGCCAATTGTGGCACACATGTATCACGACCATTGGAGACGGTTGCTATTATCACATTATATTACTTGCTCTTTTATACAACATTCAATTACTGGTCAGTTCCTTTGATTTATATTACATTTTACATAATTTAAATGAAACAGACTTGTACACACCTTTGCAATGACTAAACAATGCCAAATGATTTTGGAGCAAATCCCACCCATTAAACTTGTTTTATTAAGTTTTATGTAGGATATACCTAATAGGGATTTGTCCAACCATTACCTAAAGTGGTTTCTTTCACTGTAGCATATTGAGGTGAACTGATTTGGGAGAAAACATTTAGTGCTTTTGGTATTTCCAGTTGCTGCAGAGATATACGATGGCAGTGATGTCCAAGTCATTCAATGCCTTCGTTGGTCAGAATATTGAGAATAGGAGTTGGGAACATCATGTTGCAGCTCTACAGGACAATGGTAAGGCCACTTTAGAATAGTGCATTAAGTTCTAGTCCCCCTTCCATAGGGAGGATATTGTTAAACCGGAGAGAGTGTACAAAAGTTTTACAAGGATTTTGCTGGGATTGGAGGGTTTGAGCAATAGGGAAGAGGCTGAATAGGCTGGGGCTATTTCCCCTGGAGCATTGGAGGTTGAAGAAGGACCTTATAGGAGGTTTACAAAATGAGGAGGGGCATCAATAGGATGAATAGCCAAGATCTTTTTCCTTCGGCGAGGGAGTCCAGAACTAGAAAGCACAGGTTTAAGGTGAGGGGGAAAAAGATTTAAGAAGGACCTGAAGGGTAACTTTTTCATGCCAAGAGTGGTGCATGTATGGAATGAGGTGCCACAGGAAGTGGCGGAGGCTGGTACAATTGCAACATTTAAAAAGGCATCTGGATTGGTATATGAATAGGAAGGGTTTAGAAGGATATGGACCAAATGCTGGCAAATGGGACTAGGTCAGATTGGGATGCATGGTTTTCGCAGACAAGTTGAACCGAGGGTTTGTTTCTGTGCTGTACGACTCTATAAGTCACTACTTATTCTCTGCTGCATATTACCAAACATTGACAAATTCAGAGAGAAAACACATTGTGGAGCTGGAGGAACACAGCAGATGAGCAGGAAAGTTGATGTTTCGGGTCAGGAAGCGTCAACTTTCCTGCTCCTCTGACGCTGCCTGGCCTGCTGTGTTCCTCCAGCTCCACACTGTTATCTCTGACTCAAGCATCAGCAGTTCTTAGTATCTCTGATTGATAAATTCAGCACTGGTGGGTCAGGGAGCAGTTGGTGGCTACTACTGCCATTTCATAAATTCTGGGCAATCATCAGTAAGCTCCCTCCTGAGTAAAGAATCATAATAATATTTTCCTTCTTCATAACTAGGAATATTCAAACTAAATCAAGGCGTTTGACCTTCTCTGTTTAACATATAACGTACTGTGCTATTTATGCACATTGTGGCTCTCCACAAAGTGACAGGGACTAAGATGTGTATCTATTAGATGCAAGTAAGACATTTCCTGCTTGGGAAATGGTTCAGTATTGTTGAGCACTAGCTAACAACAAAATCAAAAAGAAGAGAAAAAAAAGAGAAATTGAAAAACATTCAAATACAAACGTGTGAAATCAGACGGAGTAGACATATGAGCCCTCAAGCCTGTTCCGCTATTTAATAAGATCATGGTTGATATGACTGTATCTTCAAATCCACATTCCCACCACTTCCTTAACTGTTCACCCTTTCGTTCCTCAAGCATCTACTATCTCTGCCTTAAAATGATTCCGGCTGCACTTCCATACTCTTTTAAAAGGATGCACTCCTCAGAAATCAATTTTTTTCAACTGTCTTAAATGGGAGACCCCTTATTTTGAAACAGTGACCTAGAACAGCATTCTAGATTTCCCACAATAGGGACCATCACTTCACATCCATCCTGTCAAGATGCCTCACAATCTTGCACGTTTTGAGTTAGTTCTTATTCTAAATTCCAGCAGATACAAGCCTAGCCTGTTGTTTCACATTTCCTCACAAGGCAACCCACTCATTTTAGGTATTAGTCAAGCAAATCTTCCCAAAACTTCAACCAATACATTTACATTCTTCCTTAATGAAGGTCACCAATGTCATACAGCACTCCAGATGGTCTTACCAATGCCCTGTGTACCTGAAGCATTACCTTCCCGCTTTTGTACTAAAATTCCCTTGCAATAGACAATAACATTTTATTAGTTTCTGATTATTTTCTGTAACTCCACATAGTCTTTAGGAATGCATGTACTTGGCCATGAATCCTCTTGCCATTTCGAGCTCTGTATTGTTATCCTTTAGATGATGCCTTTATATTTTTCCTGCAAAAATGGACAATTTCACATTTTTCTACAATATCCATTTGCCAGGTTTCTGCCCAATCATTTAACCCATCTATATGGTCTAGTGGCTTCCTTACGTCCTCTTCACAACTTCCTCTCCTACCCATCTTTGTCTCATCAGAAAAAAAATTGATAAAGATAAATAAATAAGCAAAGACTGAACAAGAGCAATGAGTGCCCCAGGTCAGTCTTCATTTTTGGTATTCAGCTCACGGGAAAACACCACAAACAAATACACAGACTTCTCACATATAGTTAAAATCCAAGATGTATGCTTCACTTAAAAAATGAAAATTAATTTAGAGAAAGAAACCAAAAAGAGAGATTCAATGCAGGTGAAGGAACTAAGTCTGAAGTTTAACATCCTCCTTGAAACAGGACTGTAAAACCACAGCAATTCAATCCAAATCCAAGGATTAACAGATCAAATTATTCTCTGAAAATTTTGTTTTGCGACATTGTTAGGTAAAATAGAGGTGAGGGAGTAGGATTCAAATGTATTTGTTAAGATTTTCTTTGCAAGGAATTTTTCATTTCTTTTAAATTAGCACACATTTGATTTGAAATGTAAATCACTGCTAGCTTAGCCTGGTTATGCATAATAATGTTTTCCATCAATGCACAACTCCTGTGGCACTGTACAAGAGAAGTCAGAAGACATTGTTCAATACTATTGAACAAAGAATTTATTATCATGGCAAATGACTTATAGCGATTGACACTGTTTATTCAATATGCTTGCTTTCATCAGTCAGCGCACTGAGTATAGGAGTTGAAACGTCTTGTTGCAGCTGTGCAAGACAGTGGTGAGGCCACTTTTGGATTACAGCATGCAGTTTTGGTCACCCTACTACAAAAGGATATTGTTAAACTAGAAAGAGTGCAGAAAATATTTACTGGGATGCTACTTGGTCTGGAAGTTTTCAGTTATAAAAGGAGAGAATGGATAGGCTGGGACTTCTTCCCCTGGAGCGTAGGAGACTTGGGGGTGGGAGGGGTGAGAGAGAACCTTATAAAAAGGTCTATAAAATCATGAGAGGCATAGATAAGGTAGATAGCCAACAGCTTTTCACTATGGTAGGTGAGTCAAGAACTAGAGAGAGAGAGTATAGCCTTAAGGGGAGAGGGGAAAGATAACAAAATTGTCCCTGTGGACCCTTTTGTATGTAAGAAACAATTAGACAGGTACATGGATTGGATAGGAATGGAGAGAAATGAACCAAATGCAGGCAAATGGGACTAGTTTAATTGTGTAAACTAGGCAGCATGAGCAGGTTGTTCCGAAGGGCCTGTTGTTTCCATGCTGTATACCTCTATGGCTCTATTACGAAGTGCACTACTCATGAGAAATGCATTCTGTGTATGTCTACATGTAAAACAATAGAAACAAAAGAATCAAAAATTCAAACTAATGCGTGCTACATACGATAACAGGGAGAACAGATTACCTAATTTTGACTTCCTCATTTGATATGCTTCAAATAGTGTCTGTAGTTCTTGATATTTCCTAATTAATTGGATTTTCAAACAGTCCAATTTGGGGTGATATTCCAGATTCTGTTCTGCTAGACTACGGTTACTAGCAAGGCTCATGTCTTTATTTGGCTGTATATTCCGTACCTGAAAAACAAAAGGAAATCTTCAATTTCATGTTACATTTGGAGAATTAGTAAATCTTTGCAAAATTTTGCCATTTTTTTGCCTTTGTCAGTCAAGTATCTGTAATATTTTTAATTGCTTTTATTTCAACTACATCAAATTCCACTGTTGCCCATTTCTTGGATTTTCCTGTCCACGGCACAATGTTTTCCTTTAAAGACAGATGTTACCAACAGCCTACAATAATCTAATTGTGTTAGCAATCACATCAGCTGCTAAATTCTGCAAATTATTGAAATTATTTTTGCAAAACTCACAACAGCAGTATTCTACCAGATAGGTAACAGATTTTCTGAGTAAGATGTTATACAAAAAGCCTACATAGAAATGTTAAATCCCAAATTGTTTACTTATTCTTTCTTTCCTACATTGCTCCACTAAGCAATCAACATATCAAGAAACACTTATTTTCCTTAAAAGTTTTTTTTCTTAGTGGGTCAAGGCTATAGAGATCACCACTGGATTTAATGATTGAAGCATAAACTTAAGGGGATGTGCTGCACTCCCTCTGGTTTCATGGCATCAAATAGTGGAAACAAACATCTCCAGTTTTACTTTGTCATAATAATTCTCCTTCTGGAGTTAGAGAGCTCTGTCTTATCACGATACATACCACTGATAAACACACTCTGTACTTTTCTTACGATAAGTTGGTTGGGATATCCATGCTCCATGTTTTTCAAGAGAAGTGTTGATATTTAACAAAGAGTTAAGCAAAACTTGTAGCCCAGCAGTGTTTTTTGATACTCAGTTCAGTTAAACTGAAATGTTAAGCTTACTCAGAAGCTGTCTGAATTATGTCCAAAGAGTTTCATATATCACTACTTGGGCATTTTAAATATTTTTCGGTCGAATTTTACACCAAATATTATTTTCGTACTTACGTCTAGGCAACAGACGCAGAATTACTTTAAGTTTTTTTTAAAAAATTAAACAACGCTCATATGATCTGTGTCCAATACAATATTTGGTTGTATGAAGTATTTAACAGTAACTCATGTGCCCAAGATTAAACACATCCAGAGTACAATAAACATGTAACTTTAATTACAGAGCAAGCTACAAAATAATGTAGCTCCGTCCTGTTCAAATAAGCATTTTGAGCTCAAGTAAAATTCTAGTAAACATTTATACTCAAATAGAATGGCCAATTAATCAGTTGACTCTCATGATTAACAGGTATCAAAAGTTGAACTCCAAAAAAATTGATTTCCGCAACAAATGTTAATTACAAGTAATCAAAAACCCTACTTGAGATATTAATTTATCTCACTGGAACACTGATGTGCCTACCTTGAAAATGTTCTTATCCAATGATCTAAGACATATTTGATTTTAGAAGATAGTATTACAAATCGGGTAGGAACACAGGAACAGGAATAGGCCATTCAGCCCCTCAAGCCTGTTCCGCCATTCAATGAGATCATGGCTGATCTGAAATGAGGTGTAGGAGAACGCTCCTGTCTACCCACTCCTTTTTTGACTGTGACAGTTTAGTAATTAAAAAAAATTGCCAATTCAACAAGTGTCTAACAACATGTGTTCCTTGATTTTTAAAGAGAATTAACTGCAATTAATCTCATCCATGTAAAAGAATAGAAACATACCAACTTACACACGCACAAATAAATTAAAAGAGGGGGAGGATATATTAAGTAATTTAAATCCCAAGGGTATTCGGTTCTTGAAGAATGGTAACTTGGCTTCAGGTTGAACCCAGTGATCCTTCTGGGTCTAACGAGGTAGTTTGAAGATTGATGTGTTTCTGTGGACAGCAACTGTTTGGTTGAGAGCATGCAAGTAAGACATCTACACAGGAGCTTGCTTCTTCAATACAGCACTTACTTCTGCTAGTTTACAGAGAAAATAGGTTCTTAAAAGCCCAGAGGATTAGCTGGCATGTCACATACTGTCTCACTAATTAGCCAACTAATCCAAAAGATGACTCTGACATAGCAGATCCTAGGTGAAAGGATATGGTTTGACAACGTCTGGACAAATTCCTTTTAAGCCAGAACCTCATTGCCCAAGTGATTATATCTAATGGTTGGTCTCTACTATTGCGTTTCCAGGTGATCATTTGCTAATAAAATAAGAAGCCCCCAATCCAACTCCAAGGTTATTCTGCCTTTTCCCACAGGCTGCCTACATTTCAGTGGCTTTGGAGCTTAGAAGGTGCAATGATGCAAATGTTCAGCATTTTTGGCTAATGTCAAGTCATTGGAATGAGGCTCAAGTCTTAGTGGTTACCAGCCAGTAAATTTATGTTACTTGCTGCAATGAACAGCTCCATAACAACTCTAGTCTTACAAACACATACTGCAACAACAGTAGCTTCTGACACTGATATTCAAAACATTAATATAACATGGACATGTACATTAAAGCAGAGTAAGGACATGACTGTTCAGATAAATATGTCTAATTATATACATAAACAGTGTCATTTAAACATTATAGTCTAAGTAACTAAATTTGATGGAAAAATGTAATGGAAGTGCAATCTAATGGCATTTATTCAAATTTTCAGTTTGGGTTCCGCCAGGGCTGTTCAGCTCCTAACCTCATTACAACATTGGTCCAAAAAGGTTAACAAGACCATCACAGAGTCAAAGCGATACTGACTGCCTTTGATATCAAGGCACATTTGACAGAGTGTGATCAATGAGCCCTAGCAAAACTAAAGTCAATAGGGATTGAGGGGGGAAAAAAAAACGAACACTTTCCTGCATGGACTCATACTATCACAAAGGAAGCTGGCTGATATTATCAGAGGCCAATCATCCAAAACACTTGATATTGCTGCATAAGTCCCTCAGCATAGTGCCCTCGAGAGAAAAATCTTCAATGACCCATGTCTCAGCATAAGTTCAAAAGTCAGGATGCTTGCTAATGATTACATAACATTCAGCACTATTCATCACTTCTCAGATATATAGCACCACATGCAGTGTTTCACATCATCCAGGCTTCAGCTGATAAGTAACATTTGTGCAGCACAAGTAGTGGGCAATGCCCAGCAGCAAAGGAGAACATCTGATCACCTTCCCTTGACATTCAAAGACATTATCAATGCTAGCTACTCTCCACCTTACAGGGGTTACTACCCATGTTCCCACTGGATTTCTTTTCTCTGAGCGAACCTTTGAGATCTATACATGAAAGCTACTTCCAGAACCAGAACTCAATGCTGCAGATGGCATCAGTGTGCCAATTGCCACGTATGGATTCTGAGTAGCTGCACGTGTGCACACCTTAGGAGGGAATGTTTGTTACCACTGACCAGAAACTTAACTAGACATAGAAATAGAACAAAAACAAAAAGTTGCTGGAGAAACACAGCATATCTGGCAAATTCTGAGGAGAGAAAGCACAGTTAATATTAACTCTGCTTTCTCTTTCCACAGATGCTGCCAGATGTTGAATTTCACTAGCAATTTCTGTTTCAGATTTCCAGTATCTCCAGTTCTTGATTTTATTTCACAGATATATCAATAACGTGGCTATTAAGGGGTCAGAGGCTGGGAGTTCTGTGGTTAGTAATTCGCTGCTGACTTCAAAACCTGCCCACCATCTACAAAGCACAAGTCAGAAATGCGATGAATCACTCTCTATTACATGGATTAGTGCAATTCCAACAACACTTAATCAGCTCAGTACCATCCTAAGCAGCCTGTTGGAATGGCAACACATACATCACTTTAAAAATTATTCTTCCTTCCAACATTAGGAGTGTGCACTGTTTCTAAAAAAAAAAGCACTGCAGTAATTAACTAAACCACCTTCAACAGCTCACAAATTCCATCACCTAGAAGGACAGGGCACCAAGCACTTGGGAACACCACCTACAAAGTTTCCCCACCAAGTCACACAGTACCAACTTGCAGCTATTAGACCATTTCTTCATGCTGTGTCAAAATCCTAGAATTCCCTCCCTAACAGCACTGCGAGTGATGTACAGAAAGTGGACTGCAGCAGTTGAAGGTGACTCATCATCTGCTCAAGAGGCAATTATGGCATAAATGCTGATGCTCACATCTAAGAACGTCTAAATTTTAAAATGCCTTATTGCATTGATGACTGGTGTTTTGCCTTCAAATGCTAGGTTTGGAGCCGTTAACATAGAACGTACAAGATTTCACAGAACATTTAACAAAAGGAATTTCGGCACTTCTGACAGTAGTCTCAAGCCACTGAGAGAATGCTTTTTGTTTGAAAACAAAGATTACAAACTTCTTCAAGCACACTGGCTCAAATTCTCACCTGTACCAAGTCAACCAAGCTTAACTGGGCTCCAGTAGGGAAACTACAACTAGACTCTGTGCCAAGGAAAATGAAGAATTCCTATTTCTCACTGTACAGCACAAATAGGATTGTTGTGCATGAGTATTGAATGTTCCAACAGTTAATCATCACCAATTAACTTCACAATGAGCAATGTTTACTTGGGCAAAATGTAAACCAATCTGCACTCCAGTCAAAACTAGCTACTGTTTGGAGCCAACAGACAATAAAGGCAGCTCCATAATCTACCTCATGGCTACGTAGGTGTCTCAGAACACATCCAAACAGGTTGTTTTAAAAAAAGTCAAGGTATCACCAGATTGCAATCATGTACAAATAAGCTTACTTGAAGCTGAACTATGTTCCTTCACAATTATTTCTATTGTGGATATCAAAATTCTCCAACTTACTCTTGCCTTAACTGAAAAAAAGGAATACATTTGTCTCTCCCAATCCTGTGCAATCAGCTGTGCAATGTTTCATCATGCATCTGGATGATCAAAATACTCGACAAGTAAAAATTAAGATAATCTATTTTGCACATTGCAATTAGAAATTTCCAAAATGGGATTACTTAAATTTTTTTAATTGTTTGGAATAATTCTAACTTCTAGCCATTTTTAATTACAAATTGCCTTTAGCTTTTAAGAACAGTGCTGGCCTACAGTTCTTCATTT